AAACTGACCTGGTGTGCGTGCCTTGGGACTTCATTTCCCACGGTTCATAGACAGAGCACTTCCTGGGAGAAGACTTATTGGTAAGTGATGCTCTACAAGGCAATAAGCTTAAAAAGTTATATTTCTCAAGATGGACAAGGTGAAATGAGTGGGAAAGAGGAAGAGAGAGTTCTAGAGCAGGACGGGGGGAGCAAACATAGGAGGGGCAAACAGTGGGCTTAGAGTCAGAGGAAAGACAGGAGGGGATGCCATAGAGTGAAGTGGCTGTCCATACCAAGAAGTCTAAAACTCAGGAGATCCATACTTGAGGCAGGAGGCTTTGATGTTCTCCAACGAGGGAGGAGAAAACTCCAGGAAGTTGTTTTTGCTCAGTCCTGTCTAACTCTTTGTGACCCCTGTGGACCATACTCTGTCCATGGGATTTTCTTGGCAAGGATATTAGAGTGGTTTGCCATTTCCTTCTCCAGTGGATTAAGGCAAACAGAGGTTAAATGACTTTCCCAGGGTCACAGAGCTAGGAAGTGTCTGAGGCCAGATTTTAACTCAGGTCTTCCTGACTTCAGACCCAGTGCTGTATCCCCTGAGCCATCTAGCTGCCCCAAGCCTTACTAGGCATTTCGTACTGGGGCCTTGCAGTATGAAGAGAACTATTATATGCTGAGGCATTGAAGGGACCAAGGGGGATCTGTTGCTTTTATTTGTGTATGAGTATAGAGAATGTTTTATTTCTTCATTCTTCTTCTCATTATGAACATTGGTCCCTATATCAATTAAATGGATTTGTTATAGAATTGATGCATCTCTTTTGCAGTTAGTGGATAGAGTGTCAGGCCTGGAGTCAGGAAGACTCATCATCCTGAGTTCAACTCTGGCCTCAGACACTTCCTACCTGTGTGACCCTAGAAAAGTCACTTAACCCTGTTTGCCTCAGTTTCTTCATCTTAAAATGAGCTGGAGAAGGAAACGCAAACCACTCTAGTATCTTTGCCATGAAAACCTCAAAATGAGGTCATGACGAGTCAGACACAACTGAAAAAAATGACTGAACTGATTGATATGTTACCTTGTCAATAGTGAAAATGTACCAGATAGGAGCTTAGGCCTTGAATTACATAAAAGACAAGTGAAATCATGCACACTCAACTTGGGAAAAGCAGCCAGGAACTGCAGAGTATGAAAAGGGCTCAGGACTACAAAGAAACTCAGGCCCTGAGAGATGAAATTGCTTGTCCAGGTTTACACAATAAGTAGCAGAATCATATTTTGAACTCAGCTCCTCTGACTCCAAATCCAGTGTTTTTAATGTTACATCATGCTGCCTTCTCTGCTTTAGTTCTTTTGTCTATAAAATGAGGCAATTGGACTAGATGATCTCTATGCCAAGAATTCTTAACATGTAGGTCTATCAATTCATGATTTAAAAAAATATTTTTATAATTATTTCAATATAATTGATTTCTGCGCTCATTGTCTTTTAAGCTTTACCAGCATGCCAAAGGGGGTTGATGAGACATACAAAAAAGGTTAAGATCCCCTGCTTTACTCTAAGAAGAGTAAAGATATGGTAAAGAACCAAACTGTAAGGAACCTTGAGCTAAATTGAGAGTGTTTCATTTAATAATTCCTGAATCTTAAAAAGAAAATGTTTTCTTTTTTATTGAATTTTTAAAGCCTAGCTGCATAAAATTAACTATTCAATTCAACAAGCTTTATTATTTATCATTGTTATATGAAAGGCATTCTGTTGGGTGCTAGGCATACAAAAAAAAAAAGTTCCCTGCCTTCCAAGAGCTTACATTCTGTCAGGGGATACAATGTGTAAGAAAGATAACTAATAACGCGGGATAAGAGAGGGTTTCCACGTGAGATTGGATCAGAGCTGAGATTCAAAGCAAGCTAAAGATGCCAAAAGGCAGAGGTCACGAGGGAATATATTCCAGATGTGTGGGACAGCCTGTGCACAGGCATGCAAGTAGAAGAGGCAGTGCTGAATTAGGAGAATAGCAGGAGGGCTAATTTGGCTGAAATGTAGAGTGCATGAAAGGGAGGGATATGAAAGCCTTCTGGAAATGAACACTGGAGTCATCTTTGGAAAGGCTTTAAATATCAAATGAAGTTTTTCCTAGAAGCAATAAAAAGCCAACTGAAGCCTCTTGAGGAGAGGAGGGACATGGTCAAACCTGTAAGACGGTAAGATTATTTGGCAGCTGGGGAGAAGAAGGACTGGTTAGGAGAAAGAGGGAGATGAACTAGAAAGTAAGTATAGTAATTCATCTGGCATATAATGAGCACCATAATATGCCGAGCACTGGGCCTGGAGTCAAGAAGATCCATTATCCTGAGTTCAAATCTGGCCTCAGACACTTCTTAGCTGTGTGACCCTAGAAAAGTCACCCAACCCTGTTTGCCTCAGGTTCCTCATCTGTAAAACGAGCTGGAGAAGGAAATGGCAAACTACTGCAGTATCTCTGCCAAGCAAACCCCAAATGAGGTCACAACTGAAATGACTGAACAGCAACACAAGGAATGGGACTGGGATGATGACCAGGTGAGGGGAGAGAAGGGGATGTGAGGGATGTGTCGGAGGCAGAATCAACAAGACATGGGGATTGGTGAAACATGGCTTAGGGGGAAGAGGCGAAGGAAAACGAAAAGTCGAGCAGGACTCTTGGGGTGAAAACATGGGTCATGGGAAGGATGGTAGAGCCCTTAACAGAAAAGGGAAGTTTAAAAAGGGGCCTATTTAGGGGACAAAATAATGAGTGGCTTTGGATACGTTGAGTTACAAATGCTAACAGAACATCTAGTCGTGGATATGGAGCTCAGAAGAAAATTGGGGTTGGACGGATGGATTTGGAGTCCTCCGCACCAAGGTAATAATCATATCATCTGTAGGAACTAAGAAGATATGAAGCACTTGTATTTTTCATTTTGTGACTCTGGCCTTGTTTTTATAAATTTCCTCTTCAGGAGCTATTTGTCTTCCTTGCCTTTTTAATTCTTTTGATTCTCATGGAGCTAAATCCATGTCAATAGGCCTGTGCAGGATTTCGGGGGGCTCAGCTTCCTGGGCTCTAGGTCAATTCCTCAACCACTAGTGGGTCTCTAAGTTTCTCACTTAGGTCAGTGGGCTGTGAGGTCAGATTGTAGTATCAACACTGGAGGAACTCTCAAGGTTCTCAGATTCTAGACTAAGCTGGAAGTAGCACCAACATAGCTTCCACCATACTCAGGGCATCTAGTAGGCAAGGAAAAACATGATTCTGTGTGTGCTGCATTTTCAGTGAACATACACCTCTAGCACTTAGAATAAAAACAGTAAAAGTAACAACCTTCGATGAGGAGAAGGAAAGAGCAATAAACGAATTTGGATCTACCTATGGAAATATATGAACTCGAATATGAGAAGGACTTGAGATTTTGAAAAGGTCAAGAACTCCTCCCCATCTCAAATCTTACTTAGAACGTTAAGTCCTGGGAAGCTACTTAAGGTACACAGAGTTGAGTAACTTGCCCAAGAGTCCACAGCTAATTAGTACCAGAAATGAGACATCCCGGGAAAGGTGCCTTTGCAATATGATAGGCCTAATTGCTTTTTCATTCATAGCAAAGCCAGCTCCAGATTGGTATTAACTATTCAAGTCAATGAACTTTATAGTTTCATAATAATTTTTATTTGTTAATAATAAATGCTGGTTGGCTTGGCTTGAGACTAACATGTCTAATTGTAGCATCTTTTAAACACACATATATAAAAACACGCACACACAAAAAAGACAACTTCCCCTGTATTCACTAAAACCAACTCTTGATTATCAAAGAAACAGAGAAGATAGGATGCTAAAATGTACAAGTAAGCCCCAAACTTTCATGTCATGTGAGATTTGCAATGTCTTCTCATTTCAATCCTTTTTATAAGAGCTGCTAAAAATAAGTGACTGTATCATGAGCAATATAGGTCAAGTAGTTGTCATTTCAGATCACAATTGATTTATAGTCACAGAGATATCTGAAGCTCAGAGTGGTTAAGCGATTTGCCTAGAGTCACACAGCTAGTATCAGAGGTGACATCTGAATAGAGGCTTATGGGACAGGAGGTCAAGGATTCTGCCTCCTACAGACTTCTCCTTCACTATTTGGGGGAATATATCCTAAAGATAATACTAAAAAGGAAGATATAACCTATGTGTATAAATCTATTCATAGCTGCTTTATTTATAATAACATAAAACTGGAAACAGCCTACATGTCCAATGAGCTGAATAAATTGTGTTATATTTGTGTAATGGAATACTATTGACCCATAAATGACAAATATGAAGATTACAAAGAGAAATCCAACATACTACAAAACAAGGATAGTAAAATGAGGACGCAGGCTGATGAAAAACATTTATTTTAATAAAGGCAAGAAAAAATTTTAAGCTCATAGACTTAAAGAGCAGAATGGGGTAAGGGAAAGGGTCAAAGACTTAGAGTCGAGGAAGACCTGAGTTCAAATCCTGATTCAAATGCTTAGTAATTGCATGACCTGGGCAAGTCATTTACCTTCTCTGAAACTCAACTTTCTTACATCTAAGGAAAAGGAGGAGGAGGAGGAAAAAGAAGGAAAAGGAGAAGAAGGAGGAGAAGGAGGAGGAGGAGGAGAAAGAGGAGGAGGAGGAGGAGGAGGAGGAGGAGGAGAAGAAGAAGAAGAAGAAGAAGAAGAAGAAGAAGAAGAAGAAGAAGAAGAAGAAGAAGAAGAAGAAGAAGAAGAAGAAGAAATTGACTAATATTTGTATTGTGCTTATTATGTGCCAGGCACTGTACGAATAAGCACTTTATAATTATCTCATTTAATCCTCACAACAATTTCTGAAAGATAGGTGCTATTATTATCTCCATTTTACTGATGAGGAAACTGAGGCAAACAGAGGTTAAATGATTTGCCAAAAGCCACACAGCTAATATGTGTCTGAGAAAAGATCTGAACTCAAATCTTCCTAACTCCAGGCCCAACACTCTATCCATTGCATCTACCCCTTTTCTCCGCTCACAGCAGCCACCTTTGTTCAGGGCCTTATCAAATACCTGCCCCAAGACTCTTCCCTCTTCAGTTCATCCTCCATACAGTGATATTCCTAAAATACAAATGTGATTATGTCACTCAATAAACTCCAATGGTTCTCTATTATTTCTAGGACCAATTACAAATTCTTCTGTTTGGCATTTGATACCTTTCCCTATCAAGCCCCAACCTACCTTTTGACACATGCTGTAGTTCAGCCCAACCGGCCTTCTTAATGTTCCTCAAACACTGCATTCCAGCTCTAGTTTCTGACTTTAAAGGCACGGGCTATCTCTCATACTTAGAATAGGTTCAATCTTCCTTTCTGCCTTGTAGAACCCCTAGATTCCTTCAAAGTTTATCATCTCCATGTTTCTCTTGACACCCCCCCCTTCAAAATTACATACACACATATATGTACACAATATGTATATGTATGCATATACATGTGTACACACACACACAGATACATGCACATACACTCTATTTCATGGAAGCCCTGGCTTCAAGACTCAGTTCAAGCATTTGTACAAACAGTTCTCAAAAGAATTGTAAACCATTAGCAACCATATGACAGAATGCTCTGTGTGCGTGTTTGATCACACTTGCTCTAAGTTCCATTAGGGTAAGGACTATTTCATTTTTATCCTTGCGTCTCTACCACCTAGCTCTATGCCTAGCAAAGAGGAGCTATCAATCTCTCACCAAGGATTGATTATGCCCCAAGTCTGCACCAGGCACTGGTCTAGAGGCTGGAGGTACAAATGCAAGGGATGAGAGCTCTTCCTCCAAAGAGTTCCCACTCACATGGCAGAGACATACCTTCTATGCACAAGTGCCTTCTGTACAAGGTTAGGAACTTGAGAAATCCTTCCTGAATGCTTCATTGATTGCAGTCCCAGTTTCTTCATCTGTAAAATGAGATCGATATCTGGGATGCTTGTCCACAAGGATTGTTGTGAGGTTTAAATGAGAGAGCAGACATAAAGAGCTCAGGAAGGCTTTGAATTATTACAGACATGTCAGTTATTATCAGACAAACTTAGGAAAGGGGTACAGATCACATACATTCTATAATGAGGAAGAGAGCAAGCTGGTTTGCTTTCAGGACACTGCAAGATTCCCCAAGCTTACAGCAGCAAAGGCCCACTTTTCCAGTACAAACACAATAGTGTTGCTATATAACAGAGAATTCCAGAATCAATGTGATCACAGAACGATTTTAGTAACTTCATATATATATATGATATAGATATAGATATTTATAGATAGACAGATAGATACATATATATATAGATATATATACATACATACATATAGTTATAGACGTACATGTTGTCTTCCCATTAGAATAAAAGCCCTTTGAGGGAAGAGATTGTTTAACTTTTGTCATGATATAAGGAAAATTTTCATAAAAGTAGCTAGGTGGCACAGTGGATAGAATGCTAGGTTTGGAGTTAGGAGGACCTGAGTTCAAATCCAGCCTCAGATGCTTACCAGTCATGTGACTCTGAGGAAGTCACTGAACCCTTGTCTGACTCAGTTTCCTCATCTGTAAAATGGGGATAATAATAACACCTACCTCCCAGAGTTGTTATGAAAATCAAATGAGATAATCTATGTTAAGTGCCTGGCACATAGTAGGCACTTAATAAATGCTGTTTTCCTTTCTTCCTACAAATTAGAGCTATGCCAAAGTGGAAAGGGTAACCTTGGAAGACAGCAAGTGCCTCCTTCCTAGACATCTTCAAGCAAAGGTTGGATGGCCACTTCTCAGGTACGTTGTAGAGGGGCCTCCTGTTCAGGTATGGGTTAAACTAGATGGCCTCTGAAGTCTTTTTCCAATTTCGAGGTTCTGTGATGACAAAGAATGCTGGGAAGCCAGGTATTGTCTGCTGATATCTATCTTTTAACTGGTTCCTCTAATTCAGAAAGCCAGCCCTTCAAACACATAGCATCCTTCCCCTGCTAAATTGGTCCTAACTATCTAATGCCATCTTGGGGGTTAGCAACTGGAAAGAGACATATTTCCTCACCTTGACCAAAACGCCCATTGTGCTTGATCTTTATGCAAAAGATTTGACATCTGAGAACTGGGCTTTTTGCCATAGCTGCATAATTAAGAAAGGAAGGGAGGGAGGGTTAAAAAATCAGTTACAAGTATCAGCTTTCTGCTTACAAATACTATTAGCTGAATCCTAAACCAAGGCGTGTACACACACACACACACACACACACACACACACACACACACACACATGCAGCAAGACTTCCTCACAAATCCAGTATTAAGACCAAATTAATAAGAAATATCTAAATTATTTCACACCACCCCAACTTGAGCTTCACAGCAATATAATTTCTAGAGAGGATGGATGTTATTTTTATATCCGTTTCGGCACGTCTGGTTATATGTTTCCCAAGTGGAATTGGTCATGTGACATTCTTTGCGGATTTCTCTCATCTATTAGCATTGGCAGGGCAGAGCTGGGGAGCCCATGCAAATGAGCTGGCTGCAAGGCATTTGCTTTCCATTCCATTCCGTCAGCATTGCCAGAGGATGGCAAATGAGGAGACTGTGGTTGTGTCCAGTCATTCATCCAATAGGATTTTTTTCTCTTTTCTATAGAAATCATCCCATTTATTCAGCTCCACTTTACAACAAATGAGATTTTTTCCTGGATTCTAATGCTATAGCACAATCTGTTTTGACCTTCTATTCTCATTTTTCATCCTATGACATATGTTGCAACAGGAGCAGAAAAATGGTTTCTTATCTACTGCTCCTCAAAACCTTCCCCATTCTTTCCATTTAGCATCTGCCTACCACGAATCCCTAAAATGTAAGATGAAAACAATAAGGAAAAACATCTATGAACCAAAGCCCATAAAAATGAAACCAGGCCAAGGATACCTTTTCAGAGCATCCTTCTACTCAGCTCTCACCCAGAAACTATTCTCTGAAAGGCAATGCTGCCTAGGTTGCATATTATCATTATCAGCAGACAGACAACTTCCAAACTTTGGATTCTGTCCAGATAATTACCTAGAGCAATCTGGATAACTATTGTTCGGATAATTACTTAGAGGCATCTGGATAATTATCCAGAGCTTATTTGAATGAAAAAACAAAAAATAAAAACCTTAGTCTGAAAATGTAACTGGTGGCTCTCCCAAAAAATCTCTACTTCCTCCTCGTGTTGTCCATTAAATGTGGGAATATTCACTCCTGGCCCCCAAAAAAAATCACCAAAAGGAAAATATAGTGGGAGTTAGAGGAAAGGGATTCAATAATATAAAGTAAGATTGTAACTTGTTCTTGTGTAATGCATGAATCTATCGATATCATCAATTTGCCTTCACAATTGTTCTTTCCTTAAAATCCAACTTTGATATGGAGGTAATAATAGGTTCTTGAAGTCTATGCCAAAAGGACAGTATAAGCCACTGAGATACTCTGTCTCTGAAATCTGGTCAATATCCTAACTTAATTTGTGGACGTTCATCATCATAATGTGGGCTTTTTGCCACAGGAAAGCACTAAAAATATCTCCTAAGGCATAGAAAGGCCATGATTTGTACTGGTAGAGGGAGTACTCAGAAAAGTGAAATCATGGATCTTTAAGGCATTGTATAAATTATGGCATCATTGCTATCATCAAATTGGCCTTTTTCAGTATTCCCAGAGCTTAGTCCCCTTATCATACTCCAATGTATTCCCACTTTGGGCATTGCTAAAGTTATTGATGAAGGCAAGAAACATATTGAGAATTCCCATCAACATATTCCATGAAAAAGCTCTCTGTTTCTGTGTCTCTGTCTCTTTGTTTCTCTGTCTCTCTCCATCTCTGTCTTTCTTTTTCTCTCTCTGTCTCTGTCTGTCTCTTTCTCTCTTTCCTCCATCTGTCTGTCTCTCTGTTGCTCTTTTTCTCTCTTTGTCTCTCTCTGTCTCTCTCTTCTTTCTGTCTCTCTCTCTCTCTGTCTCTGTATGTGTGTCTCCTGTCTCTTTCAAATACTCTACTCATTTTAAATATATCATAACCCTAGTAATAGAGAATTGGCTATAATCATGGGAGGTCCAGAGCTAGGGTCCCACCTTCCACCTCCTGGCTTCTACCAATCCAACCACTCAAACAACAAGACCTAGAAGATGAGTTTAAGGTGAAATTGAGGAGGAGACGCCTTCAAGTATGGAGAGAACCGCTCTACAATCCACGGTTCTATTGCTAAATTTCTCGATTACTCTGCTGTCACCCATGGAAAACATCCAGGCCCAAATTCGCATACCCATAATCCACTAAATTCTAGTAATGAAATCTGTCCCTTTTTATATCACAATGTTCAGCATGTTATATCACTCCATGAACACTACAAGTAGATTGAAGGTAAGTTCTTCTCTTCTCTATGACCTCTTATGATTCTATTCATTCCCTGAAAATGTGTTTGGAAGGCAGATATCCATTGGTATCATTGGAAGGGCAACATAGGTTAATGGAATGAGTGCAAGGTTTGACATCAGATGACTCCAAGCCCTAGGGGCCACTTTTTAGGAAAGATAGTGATAAAGTAGAGAGATCTAGATGAAAGTATTCAGCATGGAGTCAGGCCTCATGTTCATGCCTCATGTGAAGTGATTGAAGGGAATATGTAACCTGGAGGTTAAAATACTTAGGGAGGCTATGATAGCTGCCTTTTTGTATTTGAATTGCTGCCACCAGGAAGAGGGATCAAACTGATTCTCTTTGGCACCAGAGATGAGAATAAAGAAGACTAGATGAAAGCTAAGAAGAAGTAAATTTAAGGTTGGGGGAAATAAAAACTTCCTAGCTACCAAAAAAGATCTAAAAATAGCTTTTGAGGAATTGAGTTCCCTCTCTTAACAGGTCTTCTAACAAAGACTGGATAGCCACCTGTTTGATATAATGTAGAAGAGGTCCTTTTTCAGATACGAGTTGCCCTTGCTGGTTAACTGAAGTCCCTTCCAACTTTAAAATTGTGTGGGTCACTTGGGCTCCTGTCCTGGCTCTGCTACTTCCTGGCTGTCTGACTCTGGCTCATTTAACATTAAATGTCACTTAATATTCCACATTGTTCAATGATTAAAAACCAAGGTAGTAACACTGGCATTACATACCTCATGGGATAGCTGTAAGGAAGTTCCCTATAAACCTCAATCTACTGTAGAAGTAGAAGTTATTATTGTTCAGATTTCCCTATGAAAAATGAATGAAGATTGCAAGAGCAGGAGAGTGGGACTAAAATAAAACTTCAATTTGCAGAAGAAGCTCTCTTTTTTTGGCTGAAAAGATATAAGGGAGGTACCACACGTTATGGTATATGCTGTACCTTCTTCACCAGACAGTCCATTTGAAAGAAAGCTCAGGAGAAGGTTTGCACCACAGAGTAAGCCAAAAATAAACTTAAATTACCCAACTTGTATCCAGAGTGCCTTCTAGGACAAGTGATTTAGCTTTTAAAAAAAGATAATTACTTCACATACTATTTTTTAATTCAAAGAACATCTGTCACCCAGAAACTTGTCAGTGGTACTGAAGAGTTTGCCTATGAATTACTATATCTTGTCATGACAGGAAAGGCTTATAGAAACACAGCTCTCTTCTTCCAAACATCTAAGCTCTTTTGAGTCAATGGTATGGGAAACAGAAAGGGGAGCACCATAATCCTTTTCTGCATCAATATCTTAGGCATGCATTTTTGCCTAATGTCAACACATCCTGGCCCAATGTTTTCATTGAACCATGAGCACCTCAAGGACAGTGTTACAGTTTTTTTTTTAGTTCCAATCAAGCATTGACCATGATGTCTTTCATCCTGTAGATATTCGGTTAATATCCCCAGATGACTGATGAGATACATTTTCATCTTCACTCTTTTCCAGCTATTCCCTCCTGCCCTTTCCCTATAAGGTATGAAAAATATATAGATAGACAGATGGATAAAGAGAAAGAAAGAAAGAAAGAAAGAAAGAAAGAAAGAAAGAAAGAAAGAAAGAAAGAAAGAAAGAAAGAAAGAAAGAAAGAAAGGAAGAAAGAAACAAACAAAGAAAGAAAGAAAGAGAGAGAGAGAGAGAGAAAGAAAGAAAGAAAGAAAGAAAGAAAGAAAGAAAGAAAGAAAGAAAGATAGATAGATAGATAGATAGATAGATAGATAGATAGATAGATAGAAAGATAGGTAGAGAATTACAGACTAAGTGCTGAGAACACAAATACCAACAAGCAAGACAGTTCCTATCCTCAAGGAGCCAAGATTCTAATGGTGGAAAGCAATGCATAAAGGGGAACCAGAAGGAGTAAGGATGGGTAACACATGCATGTGATGCAGGACAGGGGAGAAATGGCATCATGGTCTAGACCCCAACACAATAAGGTAAAAACTGACCTATCAATTTCAAGGGACCAGAGGCACTATTTGGGTTACAGGTGGAGAAGTAATGGTTTCAATAGAGGCAACATGGCTGAAGCAGGCTGGGAAGTATTTGATATTAATTCTTTCATTAGAGCTTCACAATAATTTTCTGAGGGAAGAAGAAAAATAGATATTGAAGCCTATTGAATGAAATCCTTCTTCTAAGTGTAAATCAACAAATATAAAATAAATATTGAGGTCAATGTTTAGTCAATTTGTATGTTAATCATTGTTTTCTACATAAGACCTACTTTGAGTCTTCATCACGGCATGGACATGATCCTCAGTTCTCAAATGGTACGCCAGCAGAATACAGACTCTAGAAGGTTCCATCCAATTAAGACAGGCTTTGAGTATTATCCTGGCAATAGACTATGTCAACCGAAAGAGGATGAACCCCAAACTCCAAACTCATTGCAAAAATTCAAAGCTCACTGCTAGGTAAAGAAATATAGGGCCATTCATGAAATATGGTTTTTTAAATGTGTTTTAAAAATAATCCTCTCTTTTTTTGTACTCTCCTTCTGCTTTGGAAGAAGGAGGAGGAAGAGAACTAGCATTTATATAGTGACTTAAAGTGTGCAGAATTCTTTACAAATGCTGTTTTGTTTCATCCTCACAACAGCTCTGGGAAGTGTTATTAATAGAGTGCCTGGTATAAGTGGTAGGGGCATCTACGTGGTGC